CCCCCCCCCCCGCGAAGCCAAACGAAATGCTTCCTTTCCAAGATATTCGTCTGTGTCAAGTTAAACGACTCACCATTTGCATGTTTGAACGTACGTGTTATGAACATTGGATGAAATACCCAGCGACTAAGAGAAATAAATAGTCATAAAATAGTAAAAAAAAAGAAAATTTAAAGGAGAGAAGGAAAGAAGACTGAAAAAAAGAGAAAGATTCAAGAGAAGCAAGGAGTTTTCTGTGAAAAAAGGAAACCTACCAACTTTAAGAGACTCGCGAGTTACTCTTAGCAATATGGTCTATCTCTCTCCCTCCCTCTCTCTCCTTCTCCCTCCCTCTCCCTCTCTCTCTCTCCCCTCTCTCCCTCTCTTTATCGTACCCTTTGTTATGCTATATTACATATTAAATATGCACCTCAGCCGAATGCTCCTTCCATCCTAGTACCTCCTTCACAACCAAACCCAAGTATTCCAATTGTCTGACAGTGTATCCACAGTGTGTTCCCATGGTACCTCTAGGCAAGGATGATATGGTGCGTTTCCAACGTGATATCAGTTCGTTCTCCAGGGTATCTATAGGCTTAGGAACACTGGGCGACATGTTCAAGGAGTGCTGGTGTAAGATACTCAAATAAGACTCTAAAACTCTTGAATCCGATATGTAGGAATCCTCGTCGTGAAGGGTATCGCCTAAAAATTATAACATTATAAAATTGATTTAATTCTGTGTGATCCTTATCAATGACCTTGGAACATCAATATTTGATCTTTCCAAGGATAGCAATGTTTATGGATGTTGGTTAATGTAGATAAATAGGTATAAGGGTATGAGTCGACTAGGTATGTTTTTTGCCGTAACGACTCGGATAGATACAACTGTATAACTGTAATAAGAGAAAATAATAGCGGATACATTATTCGACAACATAAGCAATTTTAATTACATAAAGCGATGCTACAACGACACATTCGTGGAGATTGTGTGATTAAATGGTATCGTGAGAAGGTAAAGACTGTATGCAGTGCTATTGTAAATGGTTTAATGGTAAAAATGGCAGTATCATTGGGAAAATTGATGCCGACTACTACCGCGGGCATTCGCAACAAACCCCAATTTCGATTACCTAAGGCTATATTGTAAATTTATTTATGTAACTCATGTATGAGAAGTGCTACTTTTCGGGCCTCCAAAGTGTGGCGTAAGTGACGCTTTATAACTAAGGATACAACAAAAATGCTGCGCATGCGCATATCAGCCCAATTTTACTTCTCGCACTAGTGTCTTCTCGCACTCACCCAAGCAGAAATTTATTCCGGCGGGGATCCGGGCCGCATCAGGCTGTCCCTAACTGATAATTCGGCCCGGATCATGCCGCTCTTTCGGCCCTGATCTGGCATGTAACGGCATTTCTGACCGGCCCTGATCAGGCTACTTGATCGGGCCCACATTAGGGAACATATGTGGTCCTGGATCATCCCCTGATTGGTATTAATATCCAGTTGCCTGGATATTGATACACATTAGATATACATATATAGACGTTGAAATGACAAACGGGTAACATTTTTTTAAAATATCGTAGGTAGTGGAGTAATTCAGTGTGACGTATTAGGGCCTGCTTTCAAGGGGTAGGATAAGAATTCCTGCAAGTTATAAATTAGTTTGTTGATTCTAAAAAATTGTATATAGAAGCAGTGGTATGGATTGAACTACTAGGTGCTGCAAGTTAGTACTTTTTATCGCCTCTTCGTCTCTTTTTCAGAATTCTATAAAGTTTGGAGCTTATCGGCTCAGTGACCCACTTTTGCTTGCGGGTATACCTGTCCCTCTGGTGGCCGGTGGTTGTATTACATGTATATAGTTTCATATTAGGGCGATTTCAGTGTTCCCTGATTTCACACCTAATACGGCAGCTCTGAATAATGCCTGACTACGGCCAAGTCAGATTTTCCATAATAGGGCTTGCTATGAAATTGCCTGATCCTGGACAGGATCTATATTTCAGGCTGATCACATTTACAAATGTTGTACTGATGCATGACAAGGGCAGGATCTGGGCCTCATCCGGCTATCCTGATCAGGCATGCCATACCGATATCTGATCCAGACCTGATACGACATCAGGCAGCCTGACCAAATTTCTGCCCGGGCACTTCTTACACGCACTTCTGAAACGCACTTCTCACACTGCGTAGTGTTTTGTTCTCGCATGCTGTCACCACACGCCTTCACTTTGGAGTCACGAAAAGTAGCACTTCTCATGCATTCGTTACAGAAAATATTATGCGATACTGGTACAATAAAGCGAACATTATACGCAGTTTGTGAAGTTTGTCACACTCGCCGCACTCATAAAACAAACAGCACTCGCCTTCAACTCATGCCGTTGTGTTACAGGTGTGCGGCTCGTGCGAGTAACTTTACCGCCTGCTTATAAAGTTCGCTTTCTTGCACTCGTATCGCAATGTACTATTTTGCAACACTGTACGGAAAGTATACAGTTTGTGCACCAGAAAACAAACCATTCTTGATGAGTTCAGAGTCGACCATTTCGTGTTTTTTTTTGGTGCATATACCGTGAACTTTCCGTACATTATTGCAAAAAATAGTATACACCACGCGGGCAGTAAACTCAGCACCCGGAACTGCTCGATAGAAGGTCCTCGGTTTCGCCTCGGGCATTCTATCGAACAGTGCCGAAAGCTCAATTTTCTGCCCTTGTAGTGTAATATACTATTCTCGTTCCTATTTAACCAATATATAACTAGTGCGAGAAATAATTAAATTCTTTTTGAAAATGTTATCTCACTTGGACATTAGCTATTAAACAATCAATGTTATGTAATTATTTTTATAGATAACCATTTCTGTTTTGATAAGAATAATTTAGATGTTTTAGAAGTATGAATGATTCCATTTGGATCATGAAAAAAAACAGAGTCACATTGAATCACCTGTACGTTTGTTAAAGCCGTCGCGTGAGATTTTCAATTTTTGTGAAAAATGTCCGGATCTTCTATCAATGTATTAAAGATCAATATGAAATGTTATAGCAGATTTAATGGTTATAAAAATGTTGATATGATCAATTTGACGAGGGATAAAACTTGAAGCTATTAGTAATGATGCGAGGTGTTAAATGTCCGAGAACAAAAAACGGTTGTCAATTTTTCGAAAATTTGTTAATTTATAAAATGTAAATGTATTGTATATATCTAATAAGTGTAAGCAAACTCGGAACACGTGACTGGTATTCGTATTTATGCATATTATAAGCGAGACCTAAAGGTAACAGAATCTATTGAATAAAATACCGTTGAATAGGTCAAAGCTTTTAGGTCGTCTGCCAATTTTTTTAAATCTTTGCAAAGTCTCGAAATTCCAAGTGACCGTGATTTAATTCGCAGCTCAACGAAGTCTCGAATTTAAACTAAATATCGACCATAAACAAAAATCAACCGCAATATATTATGATCCATTATTATATCTGAATATAATTAGAGCATTCAATTGCACAACAGTGAAACGGAAATTGGTATAAAGATACCTCCGAATCCAACATGGAAATGTAAATAGCCGTTCCTGTATAAAGAGAGCAGGTTGCGTAGAAGCTACAAAGATTTATTAATAAAATAAGACTTCGAAATACACTCAAGTCACTATACCATTGCCAATTTTTCTCAAATTTTTTGGCAAAACTTTCCAATCGAAAAATATCTTAGTCCTATCCCGAGTTCAAATATACTATAGTATAGCTGGGTGTCCGGGAAAGAGTCTGGACAAGCTTACACTTGTAATATGGCAAATACTTATGGAAAAAAATATGGCTAATGATCCGTTCCTATACTATTTTCCATACACTTTGAAATGACCTTATTTCACTGAGTATATAAATATGCCCATACTGACGGTATGGCTTTCTAGATTTGTTATATTATATTTCATTCGATTTTATGTTTATTTATTGAAATAGCAGCATAAAATATATTTGTATCCTCTATGAAGAATGAGAAACATATCTTACTGATCAATTACATTTAGTACTCTAGAACTATTTTCGTCGACGACGAAATCAAAATAAAAATTCAGTACTTTCTTCTTGAAGGTTCTTAAGAATGTCGTCTAATTTTTTATAATCGAATATAACTGGGATTTACAGGCACAAAAATGATCGCAGATGCAATGTTTCGCATATACGTTTTTGTTATACGTTTGTAGCTGTTAGTTTCTTGAAATGAATAGGCATTAGTATTTTAAAAGTGTAGAGAAAATTTTCTTTTATTCAGATTTAATTATAAAAATTTAACAAAAATACAATATAACCTTATCTTCATTGGTCATCATTATCGCCACGCGTTGTAGATTCAATTGATAGTAAAATACAATTTTTGATGCTTCGGGAATAATCTTCAAAGCGTAATGGTCGTCTTCGCATTTTTTTCACACGAACTACACTATTTTTCAAACATGTGAATATCTCTGTTGCACGTTGCATTTTGAAGCACGTGAATATCTTTGTTGTATTTTAAAATAAAGTGTGACGGTACTAGTTAATGCCACGATTTCGAAAAATAAAAAAGAAGGAGATGAATTCAGAATTGCCTACAGGAAAATGAAATACATGGGAACAATTTTGAGACCAAGCGACAAATATTTATTATGTTATAATTTATAAACGACTGTGAAAATATTTCTTAATTTTTCTGCTTTCAGTTATAAGAGTTCCATGTAGTTTCTTGATAGACCGAAAACAATGAAGCCTCTATTAAGCCATTTTTTATTACGAAGTCCATATGCGCATGGTCTCGCACTAGAATATACTTTGTTTAATATTTTAGCATATATTTGAGTCATTTTATGGAAAGCCACGTGTGATTGGTTAAAGATTGGTATAATCAACTATAAGCATTTCACTAAAAATAGAATTACAGTTACTCTAATGAAGATTGATGCCTACGTTCCTATAGAAAATTAAATAATATTTAATATAGTAAATATGATAATATAATAAAGTTAAAAATTCGTTTTACGTAATACATACATTACGTAATACATGTTATTAATAGTATTTAAATTGTTTAAAAAAAACACATCTGAAATCTTCTTTGAGTATGTAGTTTTCAGATACTTTGAAAAATGTGGTAAATTTGAAAAGTATGGGTAGTATGGGAACGTATCACTAAACATACCTTTCTCCATACGTCCTTACCGTACTATAAATTTACACTCGTCTAGATTCTCTTTCACAGGTCGAGAACTGTGTGAAATTCACCCCCCTTTTCTAAAAAAATGAAACATTTAACGGTTGCTGCATTATGTCCTATATTTGTATCAAATTGTTCCGAAGTTGTATCACAAAAACTTATTTTGAGGCAATAATAATTTTAAAAAATTGAAATAAGCCGGAACCCCCTTTTTGTCAAAAATCGTATTTTTGAAAAATTTTCCAGGTTGTTCTAGTTGTTTCTAATATTTTTCCAAAAGGGCGCGATCATATACATTCGTAACTATTCACCTAGAAAACACAGAAAAAGGTTAATTGAAAGTATGGCCGTTCTAGAGTAAACCCCTTTCATTTTCTGTTCTGAGCATTCTATTGGTTGTTCCAGGTTGTTCTCATTCCTAGTAACATTGTTCTAATTTTTGGTTGAAATATTTGCAGTAGTTTATTCAAAAAGTACAATAATGA